TTGTTTAGGTTTCGTCCCTTTAGCTCTTGTCTCCTGGAATTCATGCACATATTTTTCAGCCGCCTTTTGGTCCCAATGGTAGCCTCACCATTCTTAACCCCATGTGTATGCCAAATTGGTTCTTAAATTCTCAAAACCCGCCTTTGCGGCCTTTTAAATTCACTCACTTCACCACTATTTGCAGGCAATTTCTTTACCAAAACTTTATGCAACTGCCTGCCTTTTTTACAAATAAACGAAGTCATAAATATCCCTGCAATTGTTTTCATTTTTCCACCCAATAAAAATTCCAAAATCTTTCCCGTATGGTGATCTCATTTTTTTTCAGCATATTTCCCCTTTGCAAAAAACAGCATCCTTTTTTTTTCATTTTTTTGGCCCCCTATGGGAAAATAAGGGTTTTGTAGGGTTTTTATAAATCCTGGACAGTTCGGCCACACTTGTACCACTTTCATATTTTTCAATGATGGTTTTTTTTAAATTCAAACGTATTTCTCACTTTTTTACCACAGGCTTGGCCCAGGGCTTTCTTTTGGGGCCTGGTCTTTTTTAGTATTGAAGCACTAAAAATAAATGGAATATTAGGAAAAATTTTGTGGGCACGTGGGGGACCTTGCCCTGGTAAAAAAATGCCAGATGGGTGCGGCCTGGCCACGCCCTGGGTATGCGCCGGACGAAATATGACTCGCGAGTCAACCTATGAAAAGCGAGTCCATGTTTATAGAAAATACCCCTATATTTGCGAATTTTACGATTGCCGGGAACTACGAAAAGCGGGGCCACTGTATATATATATATTTTTATATATTTTATATATATATATATATTTTTAAAATATAATATATATAATTTATTATATATATATATTTATATATATATTGTCGGGCCCCCAAAATGTAAAACTGGTCAAAAAAGCAAGAAATCATTTAAAAATTAAGCCTTTTAAAAAATTTTTCCCCATAATTTAAAGAATATTTTTTCATTAATGTTTATGTAAAAATTTTTTTAATTCTTTCCCAAAAGGAACTTTGAAAAAAATTTCTTAACCTTTTTTTAACAAAACAATTTATTTTAGCCCTAACCTAACTAAAATTTTTAGATTTGTTTTTCAAAAATCTAATACTAAACAAAAACCCGTGAAATAATTTTTTTTGTTAGGTTCAGAAGATTTTGGGGAAATTATTGCATACCAAATTTTCGCTTGTCCTTAAAGGCAAGATTAAAGTTGCTATTTTTGCCAAGATCGCAAGTTTTGCCTATTCGACCGAATATATATATATATATATATATTATATATATATATATATATAAATATATTAAAAATATTATATTTAGTGTGGTGTGTGTGTGTGTGTGTGATGTCTCCCTCTTATGTTCTTTAGTTGGTTGTGTTGAAAGTTCAGCAAAAAGGGTTTCAAAAACCCCAAATGACTGTAAATATTTATTTTTCGAAGGACACTTTCTCTTACAACGAAGAGAGCGTCATTTCCAAATTAAATTTCCCAGGTAATTACCCCGGGAAATTTCCCAGGTAATTACCAAAAAGCTCTCCCCACTGGCCACGATCCCCAAAATTGGTAGGAAAACACTCACACGAATAAGAAGGAAATTTAAGAATGAATTGTGCAGATACACGAACAAAAAGTACCCTTTTTTGTGGAACGGTGATGAAAAAACAGTGGGACCCAACCGGGGTTTTGCGCTTTCGTGAATAATACTAATAATGATAATAAAAGTGTAATAAAAAAAAGGATAAAAATAATAAAATAAATAATAATTTTGAGGCAGGCTGAGCCCGGTAATAAGGGTTTTAGTAACAGAGTTGTTTATAAAAGTCCAGTTTAAAAATTTTATTAAAAAAATGGAATTTACATTTAAATTTATTAAAAAAGAAGAAACTGAAACATAATGAGATCTGACTTATGAAACTGTTGCCTTGTGACCCAAGACTGTGACCCACCATGACTGTGACCCAAGACTGTGACCCAAGACTGTGACCCACCATGACTGTGACCCAAGACTGTGACCCAAGACTGTGACCCACCATGACTGTGACCCATCAAGACTGTGACCCATCAAGACTGTGACCCATCAAGACTGTGACCCACCATGACTGTGACCCACCATGACTGTGACCCATCAAGACTGTGACCCACCATGACTGTGACCCACCATGACTGTGACCCACCATGACTGTGACCCATCAAGACTGTGACCCACCATGACTGTGACCCACCATGACTGTGACCCATCAAGACTGACCCACCATGACTGACCCATCAAGACTGTGACCCACCATGACTGTGACCCATCAAGACTGTGACCCACCATGACTGTGACCCATCAAGACTGTGACCCACCATGACTGACCCATCAAGACTGTGACCCACCATGACTGTGACCCATCAAGACTGTGACCCATCAAGACTGTGACCCACCAAGACTGTGACCCACCAAGACTGTGACCCACCAAGACTGTGACCCACCAAGACTGTGTGACCCACCAAGACTGTGACCCACCAAGACTGTGACCCACCAAGACTGTGACCCACCAAGACTGTGACCCACCAAAACTGTGACCCACCAAGACTGTGACCCACCAAGACTGTGACCCACCAAGACTGTGACCCACCAAGACTGTGACCCATCAAGACGTCAGCTTCCAGTGTAAATTATTATTAGTGTACTATTATTATTATTAAATTGAATGGCATGCGCTAAACCTGTATGGATCTTACAGCACATTAAAATAAAAAATCTACAGGAAATTTCTGTGAAACATTAGTGTCTGTCTATCGTTTTCAAATAATTTATCTATCATGTTAGTCAAATCATTGTATGTATTAATAATAATAATAATAATAATAATAATAATAATAATAATAATAATAATAGTATCTTTATTTCTACATGTACAAGGTATACAGTCCTAGCTGACATCAATGACATGTTATTATATAGAAAGCCGCTGTTATGCTGAGAATTTAGGGCAAATTAGGTCAGTTTTGTCCCAGGATGCGACCCATACCAGTCCACTAACACCCAGGTACCTATTATTACTTATGGGTGAACAGTGACAGCAGGTGTCTTATGGAAACACGTCGCTAATGTTTTCCAGCCGTACCAGAGATTCGAACCCCGGACCTCAGTGTGTGAGCTGAGTGTGCTAGCGATCGACTTACGGGGGGTTCAAGCTATGGGGGGTTCATATAGCCCCAGGGGTTCATGTAACTCCTGGGGGAGGTTCATACGACCACTGGGGGTTCATATAACCCCTGAATGGTTCATACAATTTCTGAAGGATTCATATGTCTCCTGGAGGATTCATACAATCCCTGGGTTCATATAACCTGGATGGTTCATACAGCCCTTGAGGGTTCATACAATCCCTGGACGGTTCTTACAACCCCTGAGGGGTTTCATATAACCCCTGGGGGTTCATACAATCTCTGGAGGATTCATACAGCCTCTGGGGGTTCATATAACCCCCTGATGGTTCATACAACCCTGGGAGTTCATACAACTCTGGGTAGTTCATACAACCCTGGGGAGTTCATACAACCCTGGGTAGTTCATACAACCCTGGGTAGTTCATACAACCCTGGGGACTTCATTCAACCCTGGGTAGTTCATACAACCCTGGGTAGTTCATACAACCCTGGGGAGTTCATACAACCCTGGGTAGTTCATACAACCCTGGGGAGTTCATACAACCCTGGGGAGTACATACAACCCTTGGGGGGTTCATATAGAGCCAGGGGCTTGGGAAATATTCAGGTCCGATCCAAGGAATGGGAGAGTAAGTACAGTACCTTGGATCCAGAGTCACTCATCAGCTTCACACCTGGTCAAGAATAATTTTGTATCTAAAACATAGATCAAAGTAATTTTCCAGTGTATATACACTTGGAGATACCAGTGTATATACACTTGGAGATACCAGTGTATATACACTTGGAGATGCATACCAGTGTACATACACTGAGAGATACACACCAGTGTATGTACACTGGGAGATAGACACCAGTGTATATACACTGGGAGATACACACCAGTGTATATACACTGGGAGATACACTCCAATGTATATATACACTGGTAGGTACACTCCAGTCAGTGTATATACACTAGGAGGTAAATCCGTCAGTGTATATATACTGTGATACATACCACTCAGTGTATATACAATGGGAAATAAACACCAGTGGGAATCAATGTAGTGGAGGCAGGATCCATACATAGATTTAAGCAGAGGTATGACAAAGCTCATAGTGCGGGGAGAGTGACCCAGTAGAGGCCAGTGAAGAGTCGGGGCCATGAGCTATGACTCGACCCCTGCAACCACACCTAGGTGAGTACCACTTGGTATATATATATATATATATTATATATATTATATATATATTATATATATATATATATATATATATATTTATATATATATATATATATATATATATATATATATATATATATATTATATATATATATATATATATATATATATATATATATGGATGTCTATGATTAAGTTACCTACTTCATATTAATATGATAACGTTCATAAAACAACACCATATATGTTGACACTTTATCATGATACAATTAAATGTATTAAATATATATTATGTAAATTTAATAAATGTAAAATTCAATATTACTATGAAAATAAATATGTTCGCTGCGTCAATTTTAGTCAGTATATCTTCAAACATAATGCTAATCACAAGAATATTTTTTTATTGGCATTTTTTCTGCAATAATTATTATTTTTTGAGCATTTGTGTATAAAAAAATACTTAAGATGCCCTTAACACCTAATACTAAATATATTAATCTGTAAATAAATAATTAAATAAATAGGTAGATAAATAGGGAACACCTTAAGAACATAATCCCTGATAGTATAGTAACATTCATTCACTGATAAATTTTGAAACACAATAGTGATGTGAGGTGTTTGTGGTGATCATGAGATGAATATGTGCACATAAACTATCATAACTTAATAAAGTCACTGCATAGTAGCTATTGTTGTTGTCATACGACGTCGTTACCAGACGACGACTTTGCCAGACGACAAGTCTGTCAACCATACAGAACGCTGCCAGACGGAGGAGCTACTAAACGACAACACTGCCTGACGAAAACGCTGCCAGACAACATGCTGCCAGATGATAATGCTAGCAGATGACGACGCTGTCAGAAAATGCGGGCAGACAAGACGCTGCCAAATGACTGGGCTGCCTGACCGACAATGTTGTGAGATGGCGATGCTCTCAGATGACGACTCTGAAGAGCGATAACGCTGCCAGACGATGCTGCTGCCAGACTACGCGCTGCCAAACAGTGATGCCGTTATACCAACAGCCCTGGTAGACAACGTGCTGACAGACGACGGCAATGCCATTATAACGACGCTACCAGACAATGGCGCTGACAGATGATGATGGTACTGCGAGACGATTTTGTCAGTGTTACTAAACATGAGTAGGACAATGCTGATACCAAATAGTGCAACTAATAATTTATGCCACTACAGACGTATGCAGTAGACGACTTCCATACTTAAGAATGTGTCTGATGTAGGATGTCCCCACCAGGCTGTCTTTTTTCCGATAGACTATGCCCTTACCAGACATCAACAGACAATGATCTCACCAGACTATATCACCATCACGAGTCCTTTACCAGACAATGCCCTTAAAAATTGATGGTGCTTCCTGAAGAAGCTGATGACTATAAAACTTGGTGGACAGCGTATGGCAGTAGGTCGAAGAGGGACACTTGACACTGGTGGTAGCGCTCTTCACATCCACCGTTCAGTTTACCATGTAACTCAGCCTCGATAATGTGATCATACTCCTTCCTCTCTTCCTTAGTTTCTGGTCGACCCGCCAGTGAAGGTCTGTGGGTAAGAAGAATAACAAAGTGTTATGACAAGAGTATAAAAGAGAATTAAAAATAACGTTGCAGGACATCAAGAGAGAATTAGATTTTTTTTTTTTTTTGTAAAACACATGGGGATGGAAATAAAGGATAATCAGTCTCCTAATAAGGAAAACTTCTCTGAGGAAGGAGTGGGGGTGGACCACGTCAAATAAATATTATTAACGTCCCGTGCATAAATCTCAGTCCTACTCCTTACCTTCATCTTTCTTATATCGCCTTCCACCCATTGCCACTTTGCCTTCCATTTCTCCACATGCTCCTGTCTCCTCTCACTCACCAATCACCACAAAACCTTTTATTCCATTCTCTTGCATCCCCAACAATGTCGATCCCTTCTCAATTAGGAAACAAAAAGACATCTCGCCCTCTGACTAAAACAAACCACCTCCACTTATCCTTAGGTGGGCCTCTTCCCTCTTTCAATTTTCCTTCTATTTTTCCTGGATTCTCTTGTTTACAGTTCTTACCACCAAACGTCAATTCAGCCATGTTTCACTAGTCTCCTCTCACCCTTCTCATCACCAATGATCCTTACGGTCACCATATTACAGAATGGATATAAATGCTCTGGAAAATGTACAAAGAAGGATGACAAAGATGATCCCATGTAACAGAAATCTTCCCTATGAGGATAGACTGAGGGCCCTGAATCTGCACTCTCTCGAAAGGCGTAGAATTAGGGGGGATATGATCGAGGTGTATAAATGGAAAACGGGAATAAATAAAGGGGATGTAAATAGCGTGCTGAAAATTTCCAGCCAAACCATACCCCCGGCCGGGATTGAACCCGCGGTATGGTTTGTTTGCAATCGTGTCATTACGATTTCTTGAGTCATATTTCCAGCCAAGACAGGACTCGCAGCAATGGTTTCAAGTTGGAAAAATTCAGATTCAGGAAGGATATAGGAAAGCACTGGTTTGGTAATAGAATTGTGGATGAGTGGAACAAACTCCCGAGTACAGTTATTGAGGCTAAAACGTTGTGTAGTTTTAAAAATAGGTTAGATAAATACATGAGTGAGTGTGGGTGGGTGTGAGTTGGACCTGACTAGCTTGTGCTGCTGGGTCTGGTGCAGTGCTCCATCCTTGAGTGGGGATGACCAGACTGGGTGGGTCATTGGGATAATCCGGGGGGTGGGTCATTGGTCTAATCCGGGGGGGGGGGACATGGACCTGCTCCGCATGGGTCAGTAGGCCTGTTGCAGTGTTCCTTCTTTCTGATGTTCTTACTCTTCCCACCTTGACTACTTCCCTCAAAATACTCCAACCCCTTCTGCCCGTCTCTAACCACCATCCTTCGGAAGTCTAACTCCTGCACAACCCACTCCATCTTCCAAATGAACAGCAATCTCTAACATCCAACAGAAAAGCATAACCAGATTAACTAACAAGCAGTGTGATATATAAGAATGAGAGCGTGGTACATAATAAACGGTGTCACCAGGAACCGGTTGTGTATGAAACAACTTGTGCAAGCTTGAGAAAAATAAGTGTGTATACACATATATACACTGAAAATGTGGTCAATTAATTTTTTACTTCAATTTATACCCAAGAGAAGACCAAAGACAGGGTATAGACTGGAAGAAAGTAACACAAGATGAGAAACAGGAACCAGAAACCTTGGGTAAATATTCACAGACAGTCACTGGAGGCACACACACACTACATCACATCAGCAGTATATGCAATTCTGGTACCTTTAAGAAATGCCGTTACAAACGTAAGCAAAGAGTTGTTCAAAACACAAATGCAATGCAAGTAAGGCCCAGCATAAAGTATTCAACACAAGTGTAAAACACACCTACTGTAACGTATTTATGTGAGAAGCTAGACTAGTCCCGGAATTGAAGGAAATAAAGCGAATTTCGTAATCAATGAAGAGAAAACTGTGAGAGAAGACTGAAGTAACTGAACCTATTGTTATTGGAAGGACGAAAAAACAAGATATGCTCTCGGCATACAAAATAGTCCAAGGTAATGACCAAGTGAGCATGAAAAGATTATGTGATGTGAGAGGAACATTAAGCTAAAATCCCCGAGGGGCCACATGATATAGTTAAAATGGAACTAGCTGGTTGAGGTCAAAACTGATTCAAATCCATGAACAGTTTCAAGTAAATATGACTGGGCACAAGACGTCAGGAATCAACAATATCAGTAGCTTATAGATTATGAGACGCACAAAAAATGTATCTCATACACAGTCGTGAAATTCCTAAACATCAACGTACTACTCTGCTTCTCTTTCCAACCCCTCCCTCTAGCCTCGCCTCAGCCACACCTTAGCCAGTACTCACGTGAGGATGATGTTGATCATCTCTCCAAAGAGACCCTGCTCGAAGGGCGCTTCAGCCACGTCGCATATGGTCCTCAGGAGACAGCTGCGTCCGTCCAACCCGGCCCTGCAGATACACACTCCGCTTTAATCGCATAAATAAAAGCTCTGAAAGGAGTTTTACATTGAACACTAACGATTCTAATTACACAGTCTTAACTACAAAGTATAGTAAGCATGAATTGTTGAAAACACGAGAATGTTTTTTTTTAATGAAGTTAAATCTCCTGCAGTACTTGCAGTGCTAAGCTACGCCAAGTGCTAAGGGGCGTCAAGTGATGAGGGATGTGGAAAATTACATTTATCTGAATGTATCATTATGTACATAACAGTAAATGAACAGATAATTATTATTTATCAGTTAGACAAGTAGGAATTTGGGACACCTAGGTCGCAAAAATGTCCCCCTTCGATACCTACCACTGTCATATCCACAACTTGCTCTGGACCTATTAATTAAATGAAATATACATCACCAGGAATGCTGGTAAATATATAAATTTGTGGACTGTATATTAAAATTAAAAAATGATTATAGATATACACAATTACATAACAGAAGGAAAATATATCTTAATATCGCTCACCAATTTGACTGGAGATTAATGTGTCATGTACAGGACCCCCCCTTTTGCCTACATTTATGAAGAATTTACTGGCCAGAAATTAAACATAATTTAGACAGCTTATCTGAGGTTCCTGGAGTTGTCCTGTCCTGTCGCCTGATTCTCAAATTATGCAGGAATGCACATCCAACAGTTTCGCCTCATATTTGAGAGGTGTCAGCCCAATTTTAAACTCTAGAGCACGAAAAATTCTTCCCATTATACACTACCGTTAGTATCCAATTCAAACAAAATGGCGACTGTCCTGCGCAGACGCAGGCTTTCCGTTTTCTATGACATAAATATTATTAAATACAGTATGGCCATCTATTTACATATAACTACTGTATTTCTAGAAAATATATACAGTATTTTCCACAAGGGAAGTAAAGTGCTGAAGGACACCACGTGCTACAAGACGAAAGATTATATGTTTAAGAGTTTGGGATCTTTCAAATAAATAGAGGTTAATGGGAAAAATAAAACAAAATTAAATGAGAAAAATACGAAATTTTTTGACGTGAGGGAATTTTTTTCAAGAATATCTGATTAAATTTTTCTGGCAATTTTGTCAACAGAAAATAATCGTGCAAAAACCAAATTGATATAGAAAGTGCTATTAATTACAGACTGGAAGTGTTCTTTAACTCTCATTCACTTATTCTTGCTGCGCTCTTAATTCATCTTTTTTTTTTCCCCCATGAAATATTTACAGTAGGTTCTGGGAATATCGTCTTTAAGGTGAACTATTGTTCCCGGAGTAATATACATGTATATCTTTTGATAACCGGCCAGGCTTGAGACATTGTATATGAACCTTCTAACAAAGGGTTGGGAATAGAGAATGGTTTCGGTAGATAAGTTTGTGGGTGGGGCGTAATTTAATATTAGAGGGGTAGTTAGCTCACACTATATTTTTTACTAGGCGTGTTAGAATTGTCGTTCCTCAGAGGTCAAGATAAGGTGATGAGCTTAGGCTTCCGCAGATTTTTCTCATGGCAGTACTCTGTATGGTCTCTAAATTCTGGAGAGTCATTGGTGATATTGATGTGCGTGTTGAGTAGCAGTAGGAGACTTGATTGTGAGTGAATGACTTGTAAGATGCAGCATCAAATATTGTTATGAGCTTCCCAGGAGATGCCGGCTTGGGCTTTGCGGCTGAACCTGTACTGAATGCCCTGCTCAAGATGCTGGGATTTTTCTTCGTCAGGAATAGCAAAGCGTCTCCCGACGCGGGTCTTACTCTGATGATCACCCACACACTGTTTTTAGTTGTTTTTACTGGAGTGCTGTTTACGGTTAAGTTAACATTTGTTGTATCCGCAACGAAGTGAAGCCTTGGAAAGGCATCTTATCTATACTGTTTTGTAGACGCTATTCTTATAGCCATATTTTCAAATGGCTTAGCACCCGTTAACAAGTGTAGAGAGGTAAAGCAGATTAGTGTTTGTGGCCTATGTTTGTCAGAAATGTTGATTGTATGTCATATAATAAATATCCAGTTCAGAATGCTGCTGTCTTTCAGCTGAGGGTTATACCTTTCTAACCACTGTAATTCCGTAAGGAGGTTAGTGTGTGGAATCTTATCTAAAACGTCTTTAAAATGGTCGAGATGGAGACCATTTTTTTCTTGTTTTTGCCAATGAGAAGTGGGTTTTGAATTCTAGATTTGATCTAAGATGCAGCACTAATGTTTAAAGCATACTTCAAAATAAAGTTTAAGGGTAATGAGCTCGAGTTATAATTGAAGGCGTGTGCATGTGAGTTCACCCATAACTTGATTTAGGCAGAGTAATAAAGAAATTAGTCTGTATGAGAGCTTATGGGTCGAGGGGAAAACGTATAGTAAATGCACCAAAGTAAACTTTAAAAGAAATGCTCAGTAACTTACACTGTTCTGTACATGAACACATGTTATTGTCCATGAGAGGAAGTGAACAGCTGCTGAAAAGTGTAAAATCTTCTGAATTCTGATACTACCAGTGGCAGAAATGACACCTACTAGATAAGAACATTCAGATATCATTACATAAACTACTCGCGTTGCACAAAATACCGGTGATTTGCAGATGCATAACACTGGAATTCAGGACGTTAAAAAAATCAAGACAATTTGTGAATAACCTCAGCGTGTGAATGGAATGAATAAGAAGATATCAAAGAAGCTGCTGCCTCGTGGAGCAGCCATGACCAGACTACAAAATTCACAGCAACAGCCTACATGTTCGACTGTACATCATCATGTATTATCAGTTTTATGCTCTGCTGGAAAACACACTACAGCTAATGTTAACATGAGAGTATGTAGGTATTCACCTAAGTGTTTTTATCCTAAAGTCAAACATTAGCTTGTGAGTTACAAAAACATCAAAGCTTGAAACTCACTTATCGAAGGCTGCCTTCAAGTGGTTGTAGAGGGCTGATCGCTCCTGGCGGGCGGCACGTCTCGACCTGGAGTGCCACTCGAGCTGGTTGCCATGGTCAACCTGGTACCAGTGGGCGTAAGGACGAGTGATGTCGTTCGGGCTGTCGACGAACTGCAGATCTTTATATTCAGCGTCGATAGATCTCTTCCCGAAGCCGAGGCCGCCTCCAGCAATGAACGCATTTGGGAAGGGCACCTTGATTGGTAGAGCGAGTTGCAGCTTGGCCTTGTGAAAGGTGAAGGTGTCGAAGGGAAAGTTCAGCGACCACTTCACCTACGGAAGGAAGACACCTTAAATACATGACAGTGAATATATTACACAAATTGCAATAAAGGGGCTTCCACAAACTTTCTTCCTCCGGTAGATATACAAATTATACATAGTAAATATAAACGGAATGAGCCTTTCTTCACTCTGAGTGGTCATTGAACACTAAAGCACAGCTGCTGCTGCTTTATCCACATCGCTCTGCATGTCCTTAAACTGTTTACTTATTTTTATGTTAAGCAAAGACAGTACAAACTGAATTACGTGATTTTTTCCATCGACGTTTTCTTCTCAGCTCCTCTCCACCCGGTATGTTTCCACTGAGCACTTCTACCCAGCGCCTAAATCCAGTACAACTCCACCCAGCACCTCCACTCAGTACGCTCCTACCCAGCACCTCCACTCAGTACGCTCCTACCCAGCACCTCCACTCAGTACGCCTCCACCCAGCACCTCCACTCAGTACGCCTCCACCCAGTACCTCCACTCAGTACGCCTCCACCCAGTACCTTCCCCCACTACCCCCACCCATCATTTCCACCCAGTACGCCTCCACCCAGGACGCTCCCACCGATCACCTCCACCCAGTACGCCCCACCCAGCACGTCTAATCAGTATGCCCCCACCCACCACCTCCACCCAGTACGCCCCAACCCAGCACGTCCACTCAGTATGCCCCCACCCACCACCTCCACCCAGAACGCCCCATTCGCGAATTCCTTGCATTGTTCAAATCTCTAGTAAGGCTGATGCATGCAGGAGATGAGATGAAAAGCTGTAAGCCTTCTCCCTGAAAGCTGGCTGCCTTGGATCAAACGTGTAGCTCATGCTACACGCCAAGGTATTGGTCCAGTGTGGGTAGATTGGTAAAGCACTGCGTACCTTGTCCTAAGGTTCGTAGGTTCGAGTCTCCTTCTGCCAGAGATCAGTGTTTGTGTATATTTCGCATGCTCTCGCGAATTCCTTGCATATATATATATATATATTATATATATATATATATATATATATATAATATATATATATTATATATATATATATATATATATATATATATGTCGTGCCGAATAGGCAGAACTTGCGATCTTGGCTTAAATAGCAACGCTCATCTTGCCATATAGGACAAGTGAAAATTTGTGTATGCAATAATTTCGCCAAAATCATTCTGAACCTAACGAAAAAAATATATTTGATTGTGTTTGTTTAGTACTAAATTATTGTAATCGTATTTAAAATATATTTAGTTGGGTTAGGCTAAAATAAATTGCTCTTGTTATAATAAGGTTAGGTAAGTTTTCTAAGATTCTTTTGGTGCAAAGTTAAAAATTTTTACATTAACATTAATGAAAAAATATATATTTAAACGTATAAGAGAAAATTTCAGAAAGGACTTAATTTTAAATAAGCTCTTGCTAATTGACCAGTTTTACATATTCGGCACGACATATATATATATATATATATATATATATATATATATATATATATATATATATATATATATATATATATATATATATATATATATATATATATATATATATATATATATATTATATATATATATATATATATATATAATATATATTTATATATATATATATATATATTAATATTCGAGATGTTATGCGTGACCCAGAAAGACAGGTTAAAGTTACTTGTCGGAAACGAATGCTTATGGTCTTGTACTGCATGTGCGAATAGGGATGGAAACTGCCTAGCAAAGGCTTATGGAAAACTATATTTACGTAGAGTTTAGAACATTTATTAAAGCAAAAGTTTCGTCACTTGTTGCGAAAGGGTAGCAGAAAATATTTATGATTTCTTGAAACACCAAACGAGAGAACAAGAAGCCACAGTTAGTCTAAGACTGCCGAAAGGATTTTTTTTACAGACCGAATTCTGGTGTTGACTCAAGAAGTGATAGTAAGATATACAACCTATGGAAAGCAGAAAAAAAACATGAAAAAATAGTCTCTGAATATGACATTGTCTCAAAAAATATTAAAATTTACTAAAGACTGAAATCAGACAGGATAGAGAGGGGTGGGGAGACAGCGTCCTCCTAGACGGTGAAGGGGTCAGAATCTAACAGGGCAGAAAGAGATGGATAAACAGCTTCTCAGACGGTGAGTAACCAAGTATCAGACAAGGTAAGAATAACAAACACTGTTTATGATATATGTAAATGACCAGTCAGGGGAGATCGATTTTATCATCTTTCTGTTTACTGATGAAGAGATAGGAATGCGAGATACTGATGCGTGATACGACTGAATATACACACAGGGTAACACACGTGTAAACGATGACAACCATTGAAATGCAAGACAGGCAAATATAAGCACCAAGTTGTTGAGGGTAAACAAAGAGTCAATGAAGACAATGTACACCACACATGTGAGACCAACCCACAGAATTGTGACACCGACTTGGAGCCCACTGCTTGTCATCGGCATACAGAGGCTGAAATAAGTGTAAGGATTTGCTAGCATTCTGATATAATATCAACGAAGATATGCAAAACAATTAATTCTTGCGCCACTGAAAGAGAGGAACAGTAGAGATACAGGCACAACGTAAAACGTACAAGGTACTTAGGGACTTCGGCAAGTTGGATACTAACAGACTAATTGCTCGATTACTTGTGCACCCAGCTCACACAGTGAGGTCCGTAGTTCGATCCCCCTGTATGCGTGAAAACATAAGAACGTGTTCCCTGTTCACCTAACAGTAAAATAGGTACCTGGGTGTTATTCGACTGGTGTGGGTCGCATCCTGGGGACAAAATTCACGTAATTTGCCCGAAATGCTCTGCATAACAAGAGGTTTTCTATATTGTAACATGTAATTGATGTTAGCTAGGCCTTGTACATGTACTTGTAGAAATAAAGATTATTACTATTAACAAAGATCAGAGCAAGAAAGTGTAAATGAAAGCTGAAAATTCAGATGAGTTTCAAAAGAAGATCAGGAAACATTTATTACAACGTTAGTGGATTAAACTAGAGATGAAGCTATGAATGTAAATTATGGTATAGAATTCAAAAGTATATATTGTACTCCTCAATATGCTACAAACAAGATGTGTCAGTCCACTGAAGTGTAAGAATTAGAGCTCGTATCATGAGCTTCGTTAACACACAAACAACTAGATGAATATAACTAGGTAGGTACAAGGGCATACAACTTAATATTCCGTCCGAGGCTGCGATACACAATCATGGGACACACATTATTATGTCAGAGTTGAACTAGAGAAAGCTGGTGGGCTAACACAAGACCTACTTCCCTTCTAAGAGAATACTACCAGCCGTTACTCAATACTCTTCTGTAGAGAGAATACCGACCACCGCTGGTCAGAGTTGTAATACTCTCCTGTGGAGAGAATACCGACCACCGCTGGTCAGAGTTGTAATATTCTCCTGTGGAGAGAATACCGACCACCGCTGGTCAGAGTTGTAATACTCTCCTGTGGAGAGAATACCGACCACCGCTGGTCAGAGTTGTAATATTCTCCTGTGGAGAGAATATACCGATCACCGCTGGTCATAGTTGTAATATTCTCCTGTGGAGAGAATACCGACCACCGCTGGTCAGAGTTGTAATACTCTCCTGTGGAGGAATACCGACCACCGCTGGTCAGAGTTGTAATATTCTCCTGTGGAGAGAATACCGACCACCGCTGGTCAGAGTTGTAATATTCTCCTGTGGAGAGAATACCGACCACCGCTGGTCAGAGTTGTAATACTCTCCTGTGGAAAGAATACCGACCACCGCTGGTCAGAGTTGTAATACTCTCCTGTGGAGAGAATACCGACCACCGCTGGTCAGAGTTGTAATACTCTCCTGTGGAGAGAATACCGACCACCGCTGGTCAGAGTTGTAATATTCTCCTGTGGAGAGAATACCGACCACCGCTGGTCAGAGTTGTAATACTCTCCTGTGGAGAGAATACTGACCACCGCTGGTCAGAGTTGTAATACTCTCCTGTGGAGAGAATACTGACCATCGTAACTGTGTATTCCAGTAGAGCAGTGGTCCCCACCCTCTCTGTATAAAAGGGTCACATTAAATGGTCAAATGTATGATTATTCTTCACAAGAACTAACGTAATAACTAGCATAACCCACTTATACAATAACATTAATAAGTATTACCATCATAACCTGGATACCTGGATACCTGGATACCTGGATACCTGGATACCTGGATACCTGGATACCTGGATACCTGGATCCAAATCATTGCATCTCTTCCAGAAATCATTAATTTTGTTACCATAGCAATCAGTTTCCTTTAGTTGAATAACGTAAAAGTTTAACACCATTTACCTTGTAACCCATAATTTATTGCACTGCAGGAATAATGTGATCCAATATTAAAAAACTAAATCACATTTGTAAGTTATGGACATAAAAGAGAAAATTAAATATAAGAGTTTGATGTTGAGTCATATGCGAATTAGTGTTATTAATAGATAGGCATAACACACTTTAAGCGTCTTATTTAATCTTAATGTGATATTTGAGGCTGCAATCTATTGGAGAGACAGCATTAACATCAAGTTCAATGTTTATGACACAAAATCTTAAACTTTTGTTTAAACGATATTCATTAGTAAGTCTTTGCTGAAGACTTGACTTGACAGTTTTCATCCCTGAAGAAGCTTGTTCTAAAATGTATTTGCTGTCAACACTGTGAACATTCCTGGCACAAACTTTCTTTAACTTTACAAATGTATCGGGTAGACTGCTTCTCTTGTGAAAGTTTCTGAATGTGTCGATGGCTTGGAGAAAAATCACATGAATCATCTGGTGAAACTTCGAATAGGTTACAAAACACTATTATCTCCTGTTCATGTTTCGAAACTCATCAAATCGTTCTTGAGTCACTCTGCAGGAGCTATAGTGATTCAGTCTCTTTCCACAGATATCTAAGAATTTTTTTCTCCTGTTGTCTTGAGTGTTCGTCTCCAGTGGTTTTGAGGTCATGAGACGCCTGCACATACCAACTGCTTCAATAATCTGGCCATAGTGATCCTAAAGAAGAGTTGAAATTTTAAAGAAACAGGTTAAGGCCTTCTCGAGACTACTTATGGGTCATAAATCCATTACTTTTTGTTTTTTAATATATTATGAGTCGTGTTCCTAGCTGTAACATTCAAAGGTTTGTGGTCTCGGAGGATCCCCCTACGACTATAAATATTTGTTTGCATATATAAACTATTTCGATTCTGAAACCAAGGCGTACTTTTTATATATGTTTGTAACGGGCCAGCGGTAGTCGTGCAATCAATACTGCGTCTGCCACTAAAGTTAAAATATAGTTTTCTCTAGTGTAATAGGTGACACTAGAGAGGGACCTCTCTACAGGGATTTGAGTTAGAAATATAATGAATATATGGTTAAATAATTATGATCAAATGTATTACTAAACGTTAGAATCACAATTACCGGGGAATGCCTTTTGAAGAGGGGGTGTTTGTTGCGGGTGTTTGTGGAGGGTGTTTGTAGGGTAGTGTGACTTCACAGCTGCAGGTATGTGTATGTGCTGCCTATGCTGTCACTGTGCATCTCTGCCATCGTTCTGTCTCGTAATTCGTGGCCACGCTTTAAAACATGACATAATCCCCTTCCCTTAATTTATCATCATAGTAATATAACTGCTTTTATATGAACCGTACAGTTAACACATGTGCGTTAATCATTGTCGATTTTTTTTCCTAAATACCCTTGAAGATGCCACTAAGTGTTTGCCAGATGGCAGTGATCATGAGGAAGTAGCTGAGCATCCTTCAGAAGAAACGAAGTTCTCCTTGTTGATGATACGGCAGACTTATTGTCAATGCAGAAGTTTGAGGTAGTAAAACTGTGCCTTGATCATGGAAATCACTTCACAACTCTCGTATTGAACAAGCACAACCAACAGAATTGGGATGATGAAGAGTACCTGGCCTTTGATACGTATGGTGTCCTCCAGTCACTAAAGACATCTCTTCCAGGAAAGATGAGAGTTTGACACTCAACCAGTTACCACTTACAGCATGAACGACACAAATATTAAACAAGTGCCTCTAAAACAACTACACTTACATATGAGCATAAAGATGGAGGTTTCAAACTTCCTGGCAGGAACATTACTCCAGTACGACAGAGATGACAACGAAGGTTGTTGTGACATTAAGGAGACACATGTGAAGCAACACACAGCCAGATTATTAACTAACCTATAAATCAGGAAGAAGAGGGCCACAAAAAACTACTCAGATATTCATTTCATAATGGCACCCTTGTCATTAAATTTGGTCAAATATTTCCAAAATTATTATGAGAAATCTGACTGAAACTATCCCGTCCTCGACGGCCAATTTAAATATATTATAAAATCATGCTCAACACGTTTCTGATGTCTACTAAAAATTTTCTTTAATTGTTTGTTTTAATAAAGACAATTAGACAGGTGGTTTGCCCACTGGATGCCAGTCGTACCTATGTACTACAATAATAATGTAAGGTGACTACGTCGGGTTCTTAACTAATATTAATGGAAGTTGGGGTCATGCACTTCCCAACACAAGAGGATGCAAGGTTCATCCGCTCGCGTCTATAAGATAAGATAAGATTTCGTTCGGATTTTTAACCCTGGAGGGTTAGCCACCCAGGATAACCCAAGAAAGTCAGTGCGTCATCGAGGACTGTCTAACTTATTTCCATTGGGGTCCTTAATCTTGTCCCCCAGGATGCGACCCACACCAGTCGACTAACACCCAGGTACCTATTTGCTGCTAGGTGAACAGAACAAGATGTGTAAGGAAACGTGTCGAAATGTTTCCACCCGCCGGGAATCGAACCCGGGCCCTCCGTGTGTGAAGCGGGAGCTTTAGCCACCAGGCCACCGGGCCGCTTCACCAATATTTTTCAAATTACTGTATTCGGAACTTTTGAGAAAAAACATAAACGTCACAATTTTTTAATTATTCTGATTTTTTTTATTATATGTGGAGAATACACAGCAGGCACCAATTGCAGCCATTCTAAAAATTGCTGCAACAATTATATATGAATTCTAATTTATGAATAAATGGGAAAAGTTAGATATTGTGTGTTATAAACACTTGTAGGATATCACACAGTGTTTCCCGTTGTGACTTTAAAATGATTCGTATTTTTGAAGTTCAAAATTGCCCTTTTGGTATATATATGTTATTGCATATATCTAAAATCTGATTCTGTATAAGAATCGGATTTTAGATATATTTTTTTTATATTTAGGTTATTTTTAACATTGCAAGCATCGAATAAGTCTAGTTTTAATTTAAATTTTACAAATGGAAAAATAATGCATACGTTATATATAAAAAAATGAGGTTAGACAGATAAACTGAGATTTCTTGTTTCACATATAATTTATTATTTATTGGAACTTAAATCTTATATTGTTTATTTTTTTCAATATAAAAACGCAAGTTTAAATCTGACTGAGGCGTTTAGTTGGCTTACCCATCCACCCTTTTACATTGATGCAGTGTTATCTCTCTTGGGGTCCTTAGAGGCTCTTCCCTAGAATGCGATGCTCAAGAGCCGATAGACTGCAATGACTGTTGAATGATAGGTGGAAAGAGACAGCAGGTAGAGGAAACTTACCCCAATGCTACAAAAGAATGCCAGAGTATTTACCTCCAAGTTTGATCCTACTGGGACGGCAATGACTCGTCGCTTGCGTGAATGAGGCTTAGAACTTCCTGACATAAGACCCTGCAGCCAGCTCAGACTTGCTTGAGTGTTGTAAGAAAACTCATTGTCTTGCTGCAGAGCGTCCGCTGTCTGCAGGAAACACATTAACGCTAACATGAGAAATAAGTGTAGATTCATCACTGTATCTTCGGTGTTGATCGGAATCCTGTGGCTGAGGCTGTTTTTGGAAAGGGCCAAAGTTGTTGATTGGTAACAGACTCGGTGCAGAGATCTAGCAGGTTCAGAGAGAAAGAAGGAGCAGGACACACAGCACATGCACACCACAGCGGTTACTGACCTTCCCACCACCACCTTACCCACAAGCTCCGCCCATGCGCCATCACATGCACCTCCAGTCACATCAACCTACCGTGTATTTTTTATGTTACGCCATTTGCCATTGAAGTGCGACCTGGAAGATGTATTTATTACGCATGCCACTCCTGGGACTCCCATTCCCAAACAATACCGCCAAAATCTGGAGAAAGACACTTATGTCCAAATCAGGACATTTATTAGAGAAAACGTTTTGCCGCTATAGTGACTTCTTCAGTCCTGTGTCCCATAGCTCGGTTGATAGAGCACTCGGTTAACACATTGAGGTTAGTGGTTCGATCCCCGATACGGGTGAAAACATAAAGGGGGGGGGCTTCTTTAAAACACCTCCAGTCCATGTTTACGTAGTGATAAATAGGTACCTGGGTGTTAGTCGACTGGTGTGGGTCGCATCCTAGGGACAAAATTAACCTAATTTGCTCGAAAAACTCTGCATAACCAGGGGTTTTCTATATACCGAGTACGCTAAGAGATAATACAGTAAGTGTCAGGGGCCCAAGATTGTTTAACTGCCTCCCAGCATATATTAGGCTGGACAGGCACCTAAAGTCAGTACCTGACCAGCCGGGCTATGGTTCGTACGTTGGATTTACGTCGGGCCAGCAGTAACAGCTTGGTTGATCAGGCCCTGATTCACCGCGAGGCCTGGTCACGGACCGGGCCACGGGGGCGTTGACCCCCGAAACACCCTCCAGGTATACCATATATACATGGGCTATACCAGAGCGTCGGACTGTCAATTTACAGTACCGCGGTTTGCGTCCCATGTCCACCATTCTGTTTACCCATATATATTATATAATATATATATATTATATAATTATATATATAAATATAAAAAAAAATATATTATTAACAAGGAATTTCGAAAGAGCAGGCGAAATATACACAAACCTGATCTCTGGCTGAAGGGAGACTGAACCTACAAACCCTTGGAAAAAGGGTACGCATCTAAAAACCAATCTACCCACACTGGACAATACCTTGGCTGCAGCTTGCGCTACACTTTTAACCAAAGGGCACCAGCTTTCGGGGAGAAGGCTTACAGCTTTTTCATCCGTTCCATGAAATTAAAAAAATCTCAAGTAAGGCGATGCATGCAGGGGACGAGAAAAAAAGCTGTAAGCCTTCCCCTAAAAGCGGCTCCCTTGGATCAAAAACGTGTAGCGAAAAGCGCACCCCAAAGGTATTGTTCAGAGTGGGGATTGGTATGGGCATTGCGTCCCTTTTTCCCAAGGTTCGTGGGTTCGAGCCCCTTTCACCAGAGTCATTTTATAATATAATAATAATATATATATATATATATATTTTAAATATATAATAATATATAATTATATATATATATATTATATATTTTAAAATTTTTATATATAAAATATTTTAATTTATAGGTAGTGGGTTGGTAGCAGAAAACCACCGGGGAATACTAACCGCCTGCCAGATGACTGTGAAACAAAAACCTGTAACTGTTTTGCATGATGTAGGTTGCTGGCTTTTTTTTTTCTGCTCATAAACACGCTAAATAACGGGGAATCTTGTACTCCTACTTACACTTTGGTCACACTTCACAGAAAACGCACATGTATTATATATACAACATCTTTTTTTTTCCCCTTTTTTTAAATAGCTCTTTTTCTTTTTTATTTTTCTATTGTCCAGGGGAAGGGGAAAAGAATCTTTCCCCGAAACCCATCGTGCGTAGAGGCGACAAAATCCGGGAGAATGGGTATAACCCCTTTCCCTGTAACAATTACTAAAAAAGGGGAAAGAAAAAAAAACTTTATAAACGGGGTTGTTTAAATGGCGGGGATTAGTGCGGATGACAAGAAAAAATTGCTGATTTTAGAATGAAAAGAAGTTGGATGCCCGGGCCCTAAGCGAAACAAAGCTAAAGGGGGGTGGGGAATTTTTAGGGGGGGAAATAAAGGGATTAAATCTGGGTTCTGAGAGAGTTAGAGAAAAGGAAAGGGGGTAGCAGAATGTTAAATGATCTTATGGAAGGAAAAAAAGGAATATGAAGGAAATTCAAAAATTATTGGATTAAAGTAAAGGTTGGTGCGAGAAGGGGGCATAAAAGCGTGTATGCACCGGGAAAGAGAGGAATGCAGAGAGAGAGAGAGTTTTTGGGGAGATGTTAAGTGAATGTATAGGACCCTTTTAACCAATGAGAGAGAATTGGGGTAGGGGATTTGAATGCTAAAGTGGGAGAAACTTTTAGAGGGGGTGTGGTAGGTAATTTTGGGGTGCCAGGTGTAAATGATAAGGACCCTTTTTGATTGAACTTTTATAAAAAGGGGGTTTTTAGTTTAAAAGTAATACATTTTTTTAAGAAAAAGGGATAAATAAGATACACATATAAAGTGGGGCGAAATGACAGTAGTTTGTTGGATTATGTTTGGGTAGAAAAAAGACTGTGAGTGACTTAGGATGTAATGTTTATAGAGGGGCCACAGTTAAACAGATATTTTCTAGTTGTAGCACACTGAAGAAAAAGGGTAATGGGATACAAGGAAAATAGAACATCGGGGAAGAGAGAGGTAAAGGTTTAAAAACAAAAGGGAGGCAGTTAGGGTAAGATATAAACAGTTTTTTTGGAGGATAGATGGGCTAATAAGCAAGGAAAGGGGGGTCGAAGAGGTAGGGGTGGGTTTAAAAAATGTAGTGTTAAGTTTTCAGCAGAATTTTGTGGTTCAGGAAAGGGGGTGCAGGAGGGAGAGGAGCGATTGGGGGGAATGATTGTAAAGAGATAGAGGGAGAAAAGAGCAAATAGAAGTTTTTACAAAGTAAAGTATGCAAGGGGGGGAAGAGTAAGGGAGAAAAAGAGAGAAGTTAAGAGAGTGGTGAAGAAAATGTAAAAAGAGACAAATGAGAGATGGGTGAGAGTATCAACAAATTTTTTTTGAAAATAAGAAAAAGTTTTGGAGTGAATTAACAATTTAAAGAAAGCCTAGAGAACAAATGATTTGTCATTTAAAAATAGGAGAGGAAGTTTTTAAAATGGAGAGTTAGAGGTTTTTGGGAAGAGGAAAGGGAATATTTTGAAAAATTGTTAAATGGAGAAATAGGAAGCTGTGTTTTTCGTTTAGGGCAAGGAGGAAAACATCTTGTAGGAGGAGGAAAGCCATTTGTGAGGGGGGGGAATTTCGTGAGGCAGGGGAAAATGAAAGGGGTAAGGAGCCGGGATTGATGGGAAAAGATAAAATGTTAAAAGCGGGGGGGATATAGTTTTGGAGTGGTTGGTGCAATTTTTTAAATAAATTAGGGGGGAAAAGGAAATACCTGGGGATTGGCAGAGAGCATGCATAGTTCCTTTGTATAAAGGGCAAAGGGGAAAAAAGAAGTGCAAAAATTATAGGGGATAAGTCGTTGAGTGTACCGGAAAGTGTAGGTGATTTTATAATTAAAGAATTAAGGTAAGACGGGAATAGGATCGATAAACAAGGAGGTTTTTGGGAAAGGTAGGGGTGTGGGGACCGGTTTTTAACAGTGAAACATATAAGTGAACAGTTTTAGATAAGGCTAAAGAGGTCTTTGTGGCATTTGGATTTGGAAAAGGCGTTTGGACAGGGTGGATAGGGGGCAATGTGGCGATGTTGCAAGTGATGGTGTAGAGGAGGTTACTGAAAGCATTGAAGAGTTTTACCCCGATAGTGGGAAAAAAAGAGTATGTAGGGTTTTAAAAATTTTCCCAGTTAACGTAGTTGATAAATGGGTACCTGGGTGTTTATTTTAGACTGGTGTGGGTATCGCATCCTAGGGGGACAAAATTAACCTAAATTGCTCGTTGAAAAACTCTGCATAACCTGGTTGTTCTGATATACCGAGATAGCGCTAGAGATATTTTTAGTAAAAAGAATAAAGTATCAGGGCCCAAAGATTGTTTAAACTAGCTCCCGCATAGATTATATGAGGGGACAGAGCCTAAAGTCAGTACTCTGCCAGCCGGGCTATGGTTCGTGACGATGGGATTTAAACGGTCGGGCCAGCATAACAGCTGGTTGAATCAGGCCCTGATTCACCGCGAGGCTGGAAAAAACGGCCGGGCCACGGGGGCGTTGACCCCGAACACCCTCCAGGTACAACCATATATACATGGGCTATACCAGAGCGGTCGACTGTCAATTTAGCAGACGAGGTTTGGTCCCAGTCCACCATTCTGTTTAGCCATATATATATATATATATATATAGTATATATGATATAGTATATGATATTAGATAATCGATATAATATAACAAGGAATCGCAGAGCAGGCGAAATATACACTAAACACTGAGCTCTGGCTGAAGGAGACTACGAACCTACGAACCTTGAACAAGGTACGACAGTCTTAGTAAGGCAAGTCTAGGCCCCACTAGGACAAGCGTTGGCGGTGCAGCTTGCGCTACACGTTTAGATCCAAGGCAAGCTGCCAGCTTTTCAGGGAGGAAGGGCTTAAGCTTTTTCATCTCGTCCATGCAAGTGTAAAAATCTCAAGTAAGGTGATGCATGCAAGGGGACGAATGACCAAGCGTAAGCCTTCTCCCTGAAAGCGGGCTGCCTTGGATCAAAAACGTGTAGCGCAAGCTGCCCGGCAAGGTACTGTTCAGAGTGGTAGATTGGTATAGCATTGCGTAACTTTTCCAAGTTCTGTTCGAGTCCCTCCTTCAGCAGAATCAGTGTATAATATATAATTATATAAATATATATATATATATATATTATATAATATATACATATATATATATATATATATATATATATATATATATATATATATATATATATAATATATATATATATATATATATATATATATATGCAAAACAACCACTGTGAAAGAGTAGTGAAATTCCAAGCGCTTTCGTGACTACTCACATTGTCAATGTGAGTAGTCACGAAAGCGATTGGAATTTCTCTATTCTTTCAGAGTGGTTGTTTTGCATATTTTAAAAT